CTCTCTCTCTCTCTCACACACACACACACACACACACACACACACACACACACACCTGTCATGAAGATGATCTCAGGCTAACCTATTACTGAAAAAGACCTCAGGCTCCCCCAGACTACAGCCTACCACCCCCAGAAGAGAAGCTACCTAGATGAGCTGCAGCTGATGACAGGTGCATCCAACAGAGTCCAGAAGGATCTCCCAACTGAGCACAGCCTAAATTCCCAACTCACAGAACCAAGAACTAAACAAATTATTGTTTTCAGCTACTATGGTTTCTAGTTATTTGTTTTGCAGCCTAATGTGTCAATAGATCTTTACAATGGCATAGAAGCATGTTGTTCCATGACGGAGCATGCACTTAGTTCCCAGAAGTGACAGAATGCCTGACAGCACAGTTGCTATCAGGCCCCTCATTACCTTGAATTCATATCTGCTTAAATGTGGCTTTTTCACCTGCCAATGAAATAGGGTCAGCTTCTTCTAGGGAATCAAGAGGTTTTTCATCAGTAATCGGTAAAGAAGCAGGATACGGTGCCCACCACCACTACCAATGTTCCACACTGAGTTCACAGCTCTGTATATCTTGCTGCTTACCTATTAACAGAGAAGTTACAATGACCGAGTGCTGAGGTGCTTGGACCAGGCTCCAGGGAACTCTGAGTCTCTGTGCTTCTTTCTGAAACTAACCAAACAGCATGGTGGAGGCAAAGAACACAGATTTCTTAAAGCAGGCAGCTGGAGTGTGGATACTAGCTATGTGACCTAGGTGAAATTACTTAACGTTTCTGAGCTGTTTCCTCATGTGGAAAATGAAAATAATGCTTACAGGTTTGGGGGAGGTTTTAGGGGGAAGATAAAGCCTAATGGCAAAGAGTACTTTGTTTTACAGACAAAAAAATATGTTATTTTTTAAATTCTTAGATTCAGTTGAAAAGTAAAGAATAGTAGATTCAAAGATTATTCTAAAAGTCATTCTTTTAACACACTCAGAGAAACAACAAAAACAATCTTTTATGAATTGCTTTTCCTTTTACTCCACCTAAAAACTAAAGGAAAAACTTTTATGTTGTATGTTTTCATTTGTTTTATCAACTTAGCCAGTTAGAACTCAATAAAAAAGAGTTTATGTTTGATATAAATAACTCTTTTAAATTATATCTCCAAATGAAGCTTTCTTCAAGACACAGACCAGTCTGAGGCTCAATCCCTTCTCTTCAGGGGCTTCCTGGAAGAGTAGAGCTTGCATGGGCTTTCTCTGTCACCACAGAATGAACATCTGACCCACAAAAGGCAGGAAACAGTAGAAGGTGCATGAGCCCACCCAGGAAATGCTCAATGCACTGTACTTACCTCCACAAGGATGCGGATGCTCCAGAGCTCGTGCCACTGGGCTCTCACAGCATGCCTGATGTAGCCTATTCCTGAGAAAGTAACTTCTATCCTGCTGTACAGAGGAGCTTTCATCCATAAGTCTCCTCTCCACCTGAAGATCAAGTACATAGCACATCCACATCCCAAGGTCAAGAGGGGGCATTTATATAAACACATAGAGACTACCTGTCAGTTTGAGTCAGCATGGAAGTGTCTGCCTCACACAGTGAGAGCCTAACAATGTATTCCCTAGCACCGAGAACATACTATATACTCACTACTCAGAGGTACCCTAGAGATAATCATTACCTCTCTAATACCTGTGTACTCCTATACATCTCTGCCTTTGCTCATGCTCTCCCTCCAATGTCTCCCCACTAAGCTCCTCTGTGCCTCCAAGACCCAAAACTATGTCCTCTCTACTTCTAATCCTCTCCACCACTCCCTTCAGGCAAATGTAATTGTCCTCTCATCTTTCCCCAACAATGTACTCACAAATCCTTCGATTATACCACATTATATCATATTTGCTTGCTTATCTGTCTCCTCCAACCTCACTGTGAGCTTTATGCCCCATTGCAGCTCACCTAGTTCAGTGCCCCAATGAATGTCCAAAAAGTGACCAAAATCTACCTTATGGTTCCCTGATGGAAATGCTGCAGGTCAACACAGTGTTTATTAGGGGACAACGACACACCAATGGATGGTAGGCTCTAATGTCTTTCAAACAAATGAACCCCTCTTCCCCACCAAATCCTCTGGCCCGATGAGTAGGAGCAACATGTCCACATGCCAAAAGAGCAGGGGTCCAAGAAGGAGGACAGAATGGAAGAGGCATTTTCTGATTGACTGTTGACAGTGGCCACCCCATCCTCCAGTTATCCCCTCCTCTTCATACGCATGGCCCCTGCATTAGCCTTGGTCTCAATTCTTCAACCTGACCCCATACAAGTGCAGTGCTTCCCAGCCTTCTCTGGTTCCTCTAAGTTTCAAGCCTCCTCGCATTTGTACCATGGGCACCTCACTTGCCTCACTCTAGCCTCAGGTCTGCCCTGGCCTCAAGAGGGACCAATGCTGGTGCACTTTATGCTCCAAGCTCCCCATGGGATCAGGTAGAAACTGTCTTCTCCTGGGACTACCTTCTTGCTTGGCTTGTCCTCCATCCTATTGTCCTTCCATCACTGCCCCTCCCCCAGGAGTACTTTCCCAATAAATAACTTGCATAAGAAAACCCATTTCTGGCTTTGCTTCAAGGGAATCTGACCTAAGCCAAATGCTACTATGCACTAGGCCCCTTGCTAGGCACTGAGAAGAGCATAGGGCAGTAGGCAGCACAGTGTGACCAACACAATAAGAAGACCCTCCACAGGTACAAGATAGCAGAGGGGGTGGTGAGAGACCACGTAGGCATGGTCAGAAAGTCTTCCTGTGTGAGGCCTAGAGTTTAATTTTGATAGATGAACTAACTCGTGGGTTATAAACATGATTATTTTTATGTAAAGAGGCTCTTTCAAAGATCCCAAGGGTCTTAGCCACATTAGGAATCCAGGTTTGTGCATTGGTCTTTGCCAGCGCTGCCTAATAGTATTGTGATGATGGGAATGTTCTAGATCTGCCCTGTCCAGTATGGCCATCACCAGCTACATGTGGCTACTGAGCACTTGAAATATGGCAGGTATAATTGAGGAACTAAATTTATAATTTAATTTTATTTTAACTAACTATAATTTAGCTAATTTAATTTTCAACAGCCATACGTAGCTAGTGGCTCCCTGGTTGGAAAACACAGATCTGCACTGACCTCAGAGATGGTGCCCAGAACCAAGCCAACCAGCCGTTTGATGTGGAGATTGGCAGAGGCTGGGTATACGGCCACTTCTCGATGAACCTGACACGCTTCCAGGACTGACTGCAGTGGCAGCCGCCTGTGAGGCTGGTCTTCGCACATGGTCAGCAGAACAGAGTGCAAGGGCTCCAGGAGCTGCAGTGACTGGAGAGAAGAGCACTGTGTGAGATATTTGAAGGGGTGCCACTGCTGAGGCCAGTGTCTTATAGGTTTACAGTGTGGAATAACAGAAATGGATGTTCTTGTGACAACTAGACAGATGCTAGCTCCTTCTGGAGAGTTGAAGGATAGACACAAGATATATCACTGAGGCTACCAAATGCAGAGCAACTATCTCTGCTTCAGCTGTGTGAAGTTTGCTGCTTTCTAATCTGGAATGCTCTTTAGTGCATGAAGAGCCCACACATGTGCTTGGAATATTTATGAAAAATAGATGCTTAACCAAGTGGATTTCCACCTATGGCAAGCATCCAGATGAAATCAGGGATCAGCCTTTAACTCATTCACCTAGGCAGCCTGTCATTTCTCTCAGATTATTTAGATAAGTCTCATTAGGTCTTTCCAGTAGAATGTGAGCTCCAGAAACATAAGGATGGTGGCTTTTTCACTTCAGAATCTCCAGCGGTCAGCACAAGGTCAATAATTTTTGGTTTAACTTCATGTCACGTGTAAACACCAAGCAAAAAAAAAAGAAAGATATTTTACTAACCACTTTCCTCATGTGTTTAAATGACCACTATTTATATGCCTCAACTCAGATTCAATATCAGGCTTTTTCTCAAGCTCACTCATACTGTAAAGTCATTTTCCAGATAAAGGCTGCACTACCATTTCTTGCCATGCTGATGAACAGTGGGGGAGTGAGCTGCAGGTGGAGGAAGCGGTGTATGCAAAGGTCAGCATCTATCTGAATGGAAAAGGCCTATGGGCAGACCCAGAGCCCAGGGCAAAATGACAAGTCAGGGCCCCTCGTTCAAAATTATTAAGAATTTCTAGATGGTGACAGCAGAACATAAAATTGAGCTTGGGGCCCTTGTAAATGTAGGGCCCTGTGCCCATGAAACCAGCCCTGATCATGGCAGAGTACCAGAAAGGAACTGAGCCACAGGTAGGTAGAGACCCAATTCTGGGTTCCAGGTGTGTCCTGCTAAGAAGTGGAATAAATCTCGTGGGTAGTCAGGAACTATGAAAGATTTCACATGAGGAGGGATGTGAGCAGGTGTCTATTTTAAAAAGAGCTCCAGGCAGCATTGGGATATTAAATTGGAAAAAGTAAGGCTGAGATGGAAGGAAGGAAGGAAGGAAGGAAGGAAGGAAGGAAGGAAGGAAGGAAGGAATTCTTCAGCATGTGCTCTTGTTACATTGGTTTTCAAGGAATTCTTATAGTGTCAAATGAAAATTTACACACATACATATTCTGTAGTTAAAAATTTGTAAAATGCTATGATAAACAATGTTAAAAGCTTTCTATGCTTTAAACATTTTCAGAGTCTTTAATAAACTAATCTAAATAATAATTAGGGGGAAGACATTGTGGGAAGCATTTCCCCAAATCAATTGAGCATAGAAACTGTTTTCAGGGAAGGATCCCACTCCAGGAAGAGGCTGCTTTAAAGCTTATTTTATAAATCTGTATCTTCGGTATCTATAAAATCCTCTAGCTTCCTACTTCCTCTGAGCACAGGTGGCAAATAAGAGTTATCTTCCTTTCCAATCCTAAATTGTGGCTGCCTGGAGTGCCATGTTGAGTAGGATTCCCAAGTTGTGTCTGGACTCAGTAGGAGTAGTTCTGTAATTGGTTAGCAATGCCTACCTAGAACCTAGGAGGACAGAGTTGTGGCACACAGCTCAGTAGATGTGGCCCCTGCTTTAGAGAAAACTTCTGAGTAAATCCAAAGACATGGCCTGGCAAGACTTTAAGTACCCTGTTTACAGACCTGATTTGGTGGAACGTGAAACCCTGCTGACCAGTAGAGGGTTGTTCCTAAAGAATAGACGTGTGCCTGCCCAAGAGAAGAGTACATGATTAGATTACAGTCACCTCTGTTATTCTGTGGTCCTGGTCCTGCAAAACAAAAACAAAACTTAATTCCATTTCCCATGTGGCAGACACTGTTGCCTGGCTAACCCAACAAACATCTGCACCTCCCTTAAATTTTGCTGCCTCCTACTCTAGTGGCTAAAAGCCACAATGATCATGACATTCAATTTTGGCAAAAGACATAAGGAAAGTCTATTAGGAGGCTCCTGAGAAAACTTTTGCTTTACTGACAATAGGAACACATGTGACTGGCCCCACTCTTTCTTTCTTTTTTCCTGCCTTGAACACCGATGTGATACATGGAGTCATAGCAGCCATCCCTGGCCATTAGAACAAAATGCCGGTAGCTAAAGAAGATAGAATGGAAATATACAGCCTGGATCCTGGATGACATTTACTGAGCTAGTGACCAATCTCTAGACTTCTTGTTAAGTAAATAATAATTATATCTGTGATTCTAGACCCTGTACTTTAGGCTATTTCTTATAGCCAAAGCCATCTGTCCATGATATACTATGATCCAGACTGATTTAAAAGCATCAAATATTGTCAGAAAGCAATGTGGTATAATGGAAGAGCATTATCTGACTCCTCTGAGTCCCAGTTTCTTTATTTTTAAAGTGACTATTCTGCCTGAATACCCCTGAGAATTGAATAAAAGTACCTGGAGATGGTAATAATAATTATTATTGTTGTTTTTATCGGACAGAGAGCACTTATACCAAGCCTTGTTCTACATCTTTTAGTTATATCACCTTACTTAGTCCTTGCCACAATCCTGTGAAATAAGTATATTAATAGTCCCCTTTTTACATAGGAGGAAACTAAAGCAAAGACAAGTTAAGGAACTTGCAAGTAAGACGTAAAGCCTAGACTTGAACCCAATTACCAGAGTCTCTGCTCTGAGCCATTTGGCCATGTCGCTTCTGGATCATACTAAGTTCTCAATAAATGTTTCATTATTCATATTATTATTAAGCTTCTGATACAACTGACAAGACACATTCTCCTTAAGATCTCTCTTTTCAGGAAATGACTTTTGGGACTTTGGAAGGCATACATTGAATTAATGAAACATGGTATGTAAAAATGCATGATTACTTAAGGAATCCACTGAGTTTAATACAAGTAGATTTGGTTTTGGTTTTTATATATCTAGGTCAAGGGCATATGTCCAGTGTTACATGTACCAATTAGCTCTCTACTTTGTCTGAAATTGTACCCCTAAACCAATGTGTATCCCTCTGAGGAATGTGACTAGATAGCTGCAAGGAAGTTCACAAGCTGCATCCTCATTTGGTGAGAAATGACTCTGATAGCAGATGCCAGAGCAGTATCCCGAGCACTACCGGAGGTACCAGCCACACCTGGAAACTTATTTGGATTTCATGGGCCTTATCTTAAAGTTTCTTAGGAAAGGCCTAAAGCCACATCCAAATCTCAAATCCAGCCCATTGGTAGATGCTGCCTGGAGATGGGTGGTGAGAAAGATGTTGTAGGAAATTTCAGACTCTCTGGGAAAGAACATCATGATTTGTTTATGATGTCCACCACGAGCATGTGATGGGTGATGGTGGCATGAGTTGACTTATAGTTAGAGACCTGCCCGCAACTCTACCTGCACCTGAGACTAACACTCCAAGCAGTGAGGGAAATATTTTAGTGTGCTGGTTAAAACTGAATGTTGGCCTGAGGGGAGGAGTCAATTAGGTATTCTCCTAACCTCAGAATGGGGCCCAGGGCTGGAGAAGGATTCTGGGCACAGCATCTCCTGAGACTACTTTCCTAATTGCCCACCCCACCTCAGCCCATCCCACCCCACAGGATCCAAGCCAAGTTGGATAACAAGAGGAGTCTGTGATGAATGGAAGGGAACAGCAATTAACAGAACTGAGTGGTAGGGGTGCTTTAAGAGAATAGCCAAGTAACTGGGCCTCCTATCCTAATAGGCCTCCGGGCTGGTGGCTTCCACACTTTAACCCAGATACCATGCTTCATAAGCCTAGAGAGTTAAGTTACCAACAAAAATGGCTATTTGGCTTATTCAGGACTTAGTCCCTCCCCACAGTGACCCTTTCTCATCTCAAACTCACCCTTATCTTCCTGGCCCAAACTCTCAGCAACACACCTCCTCAGTTCTTAGCTCTGCCTATTTTTAGCCTTTGAACTCTTAGAGCCCTCCCTCCTCTGTGTGGAGGAATGTGTGCAGGAGAAAAGAGGGTGTTTTTCTCCAACTCAGCTCAGCTCAAGAATGTTCTAAGCAGGGGAATGACTAGACTTTCACAAGACTCTCAGTGGAGTCTAAGCTGTGGTCAGGAGGGTGATGTCTGTTCCTCACCAGTGAGTGCTGAGAGTGGCAGGAGGAGACTTCAGGAGCACTCTAGATCTGTCTTAGCTCAGATCCTGTAGAAAGCAGAGCCTGAGGCAAGGATTAAGTACTGCTACTTCATTCAGGGACTGTAAACCCAGGGCAATATGGGTGAGAAGAAAAGGGAAAGGGATATAAGGAAAGATGTTATGTGCCACATCACCATGCTGGCCACCTCCTTGTAACAAGCCTCAGAGCACAGCAGTAAGCACAGCAAACACAGCTTTCTAGCACTCAGGACTTCTCTGGAAGGCTTACAAGACTTGTCCATCTCAAAGCAGTCAGGAGGAAAGGAAGAAAGGAGAATTTATCTTCTCAGTTCCCTCCCATCTCTCATTTATCATTAGTTAAGATTCACCCGACAGGAAACTAGCTCTCCTGCATTTTCACATTATAACAGCACTTCCCTTTAGTGCTCACTCAGAGAGTCAGATCCATGGCTCAGGATGTGGCATTTTAGGTGAGTCTAGAGCACCGTAAGTAACATGGTGTGGGTGGAACATTGCCTAATAGAGAATTTGAGAAGCATCCATGTCTGTGTCCAATACAGGTGTCCAAGGATTCACTTTTGGGATCTTGGCAGTATAGAAAATGTTATAGGAACCTGGAGTGTTAACAGAGTGGGATAACAGAGTCAGGGCTGCTGTGACTGGGACTTTGATGCTTTTTTCACTGTTGCAATCTGACTTGGAGACACGTGGGCCCATACAGACAAAACCTAGAAGCCACCAAGGCCCTATTCTCTGGGCTCAAAGGAAAAGCAGCCTCTGTTCCAGGGTAGCTTCTGAGAGGAGTGGAATTTCCAGATCTACACTTTTACTGTGAAAGAAGAGGGGAAATGAAACAGAACTCATCAATTAAGTGTCCATTATGTCCTGCCCGTGTTATGTGCCTACCTTACATCATTCTCTCCTTAGAATTTCTTTATTTTTTTTTTGAAATAGAAAATAACATTTATTAGAATTTTTTGCTATTCAGAAGCAAAACACATCTATGGAAAACAAAAATCACCACTGATATTTCTATCCAGAAATAATCACTGCAGACACCTTGGTGTATATATTTTCAGATCTCTCTCTCTCTCTCTCTCTCTCTCTCTCCCTCTCTCTATGTATGTATGTATGTATGTATGTATGTGTGTGTGTATACAACTAGGATCACATTATATATGTATATATTTAATTTTTTTTTAAGTCATTAAATAACTTGCTATACAGCCTCATTTTAATGCTGTCTTGCTTCATATCCACTCTCACTGGATTAGCTTGTTTTCAGTTTATCACTAATGTCAACAAAACAACAAGAAACATTGTTGCAGCTAAATCTTTACTCAATCTTTAGGATAAATTCCTAGTTGAAGATTTCTTGGGACCTTTTAAGAGCTTTTGCTACATGGTACCAATATGCCAGACCATTTATCCCATAGTTTTTCCAACACTTCTTGAATATTTATAATAAGCTAATGGTTTGGGTCTTATTAACCCCACTTTATAGGTGTAGAAATTAGTATACAGAGAGGTTGACTTGTTCTCATCTAAGAATTAATAAGTTTCTGGTAAGAAAGCCTAGGAATAAAGTTATTTAAATCTATCTCCCTTTAGTGTTTTGAGGGCTAAACTGGGAGCTAGGGATGACCTAGAACCAAGCCTTTCCCAGAGGACAGGCCCAGGTGTGCTGCAGAGATGCTATGTGGCTTACCTGAGATGCATCAGGCTGCTCATCATCATTCTGTTGCTGTAGCAGTTCAGGGGCTTTGAAAAGAGCAGCCTCTATGTGAGAAATATGGCTTTGGAAAGAAAGACTTCCAGACGCAGAAAGCAAGGTTGAGCAGGGGCAGACCACATAGTCTGAAGAACCTGAAACCAAAGCAATGCTGGCTATAGGGACAGGGCCACCATTTGAAGGGCCATTCATGGGACAATGCCCAGCAGGTGTCTTGCAAGTACTCTATCTGGAATGGACTGTGAGCTGACCCAGGGCAAACACAAAGTGGAACAAATTCAACCCTGATGTACCCCTCACCCCAGCCTGTTACACAGAAGCATATGTTAGGAAAGGTAGCTACAGCGGTGGTGGGGAAACTAGCAGCTGCATCCAAATTCATCAATGGCCTAAGAGTCTTAAGGTAAAAGGTAAAGAAAGATCAAGTCCACCTGGAAATTGGCATAATACTGAGTTCTCTGGAACCAGGGCAGTGACCCAAGGAGCTGGTCTTCTGGATATTCCGTAACTGTGCATTAAAGCCTCCAGGACAGGTAAGAGGGACTGATGGTTCAGGGAAAAGATGGAGCTGAAGGTGCAGGTTCAGGGGCCTTTTCATCCCCTATGCTGCAACCCATCATCCTAACTGCTCAGGTGCGATTTCACTTGAGGAGAGTGTCTATTTCAGGAAGGAAGCCACCAAACACATGTGACTTCTGAGTTGATATCTGGGTGTTGGGGATTCAGTGTTTGTTCCACTTACTCATTTAATGCCTCTTAGCTACAAATCCAACTTTCAATACCCGCTCCACCACTTAAGCATCTCTCTTTTACAGCGAGCGTCACATTCAGCTTTCTCAGTAGAGGGCGCTAGAGAGACACAGCGGAAAGCGGGTTCCCCTGCTGTTTCTGGAGGATCAGCGGTGTGTGTGTGTGAAGGGCACCTGGTGACTCTTTGCGCAGAACCCGCCCACGACGCGCAGTCCCTAGGCCACTCAGTCTTATGAAGTGGTCACCTTGTCTACACAGACGCTGCAGGCTCAGGCCTCCTGCCCTCACCAGCTGCAGAGCTGTGGCTCACCTGCGCGCACCGCCTCCCAGAGGACCACTCCACCCCTGTTCTGATTGCGTGTTCCTGGCTTGTCCAGTGACTGCAGGCCACCGATAGCCTGGCAAAGCAGCTAACTTCGCCATCATCATGGGCTGCAGGCATAACTTCTCCAGGAGATCTGGACTCCAACCTGGAGAGGTAGCTTCCCTTCAAAGTTTGTCTCTCATCGGGACTGCCCTCAACCCTAGGGGACCATGAAGTTTCCTCATTTCTCACAGTTACTTTTCTATTGGAGTTTCATAATTCTTTATATTAACCTTCCCTGTTTAGACCACCGAATGTGTGGATTCTAGTTCCTGATGGGACACAAGTGGTGCAGTATCTGGCAAGGGACAGTGTGGGGGTTGCCCGGTCTCCTGTCTCTGGTTATACCTAGACTGCCTATAGGTGTTGAGAGGGGCCATAGAGCTGTAGCCTCTATGTCCCTAGCCAGCATGCCTGTAAAAGCTGTAATAACAAGGCAGAATCGATACCTTTCTTTCAATTTTGCCACTGGCCATGTGTCCAAGAGGCCTGCTCTCTCAGCACAACTCCATGGGTAGGTGTCAATTACTTACTCATTATAATACCTCCGACTGATAACAGATAGAAAAGAAGTACCAAGAAATGTATTTGTTTGGGAAGCTTCACATTCATCACCCCGCAACTCAACAGCCCCAAACATATTCTCTTACCCTTCCGGAGGTCTTCCAGGAGGTGCTCAGCTGCCAGAGACAAGAGGGACCAGATTTCCTCCTCTGACAGAGCTTCACCCTTGACCTGCAGGGCGCTAGCCAGCGTCACGGAAGCCGGGTTCATGCCTGTAAAGACATATGTGTGGCAGAGCCCCTGCAATTTCCAGAAGCGCGTCTGGTACTGCACTCACCACTCCAGCCCAAGCATAGTCCAGCCCTCTCCACAGCATGGAGCACCATGTTTTCATCATTCGTGTCCCCAGGGTTGGATACAGAACTAGGCACACAGGAGAAGCTAGAGAAATGTTCATTAGGGGCCTGGCCAGGCTGGTTAATTGGTTCTCAGTGAATTGGTAAATAAATAAATAAATTCAAATGAAACGATTAGTGAATAAATAAATGAACAAATGAACCGTGAGAATGGCACCTCCCTCCAAGCTGGGCTTGTGTTATTGTAGAGAGCTACCTATGTCTGGGTAGTGTCTATTGCCTGCTCTCCTCTCTGTCTGGAAAAGTGAGTTAACGATCTTTTTTGCCTCCAATATATGATTTATGTCTTTTCCTCTTCAGCTTCCACACTCAAAATAAGATTTGGTGCCAGCACCAGCTCTGTCTCTAATGAGTCACTAGGAGGAATAGTGAGCCCTATGTTTTGAAAAGGTGCAGACTCACAGGAAAGCACAAGACTGCTTTACAGGAGGATCTGGTGAGGAAGGCTGGAAGTGCTTCTTTAAACCAAAGCTGACATTTAAATGTCTGTCCTTCTGACAAAGCTGCCACCCATTAATCTCCAGCGGGAAGAGCCCCAGGTGTAGTGGCAGCAGAAAGAGGCCAGGCAGGCTTTTCCTAATCCTTTACGTCACTGATCTTTGTATGGCCAGAGCTCTTGGAGGGCAGGTGTGTTGTGCTGAGGTGGGGTGGGGAGCTCCTTATGGCATACCCATCCCTCCATCCAACAGGCTAATCCAAGCTCTCCATTACCCAGCTGCTCAGTTCCCTACATACACATCTAAGGCCAGCCTACTGCCTTGGGAAGAGAGAGAGATTCCCGGGAGAAAGAGCCTTGCTCTTCTATTTCTCAGGGGCGGGGGGGTGACCAGAAAGGACCTGGGCAGGAAGGTTTAAGTGTGAGATGTTACTAAGGAGTCTGTGAAGAAGTGTCTTTTGATCCCATTTTCAGACAGGAAAGCAGTCCAAGGTAACCCATAAAAAATGATGGAATTGCAGCTGAAGTCCAGGCTCTCTTGTCTTTCTTTCCTTTTCTTTTTTCTTCCTCCTTTCCTTTTCTAAACCTTGTTTGAAACTTATGAACCAGTCATTTCCATTCTGATTTTTTCTAACTTTCTATATTTTTCTAACATTTTTCTATATGTTTTAGTTTTCTATATATAACATCATACATGTTTTATTTTTATTTTATTATATAGAATATTTTATTATATGTTTTGTTCATTTTTATATGTTTCTATATTTTTTCCAACTTTCTATATTTTTCTAACTCTCTATAACCACATGAAAGGCTACTTTTTAAAGAAAAAAAGGGACAAGATTATGATTCTCGAATAGAAAATCTCTGAATCTCAAAATAAAATATCTTACAAAATATCAAGTTTTTTTTATTTCCAATCACTTTATGACTACAAAAAAAAATGCATTAAAAGTCTTCTAGGCTCATGTGGCTAATTAAGACCATTATTTCAATATAGTAAGTAATTCAATGGAGAAAAGACCACCTCTCCAAAAAACAGTACGGGACCCATCACGAAAATACTCACAACTTATACAATTATTAACTCAAAATAGATCATAGATGTAATATAGAACATAAAATCTGTAAATTTTTGGAAAAAAATAGGAGAAAATATTCAAGATTTAGGCCTAGGCAAAATGTTCATAGACTTGACACCAAAAGCTCAATCTATAAAAGGAAAAATGGATAAATTGGACCTCATCAAAACAAAAACTTTAGCTCTGAGAAAGGCACTGTTAAGAGGATGAAAAGATAAGCTATACACTGGGAAAAATATTTGAAAACCACATATCCAACAAAGTATACATGTATAGAATATATAAAAAATTCACACAAAACTCATCAATAAGAAAATAAACGATCCAATTAGAAAATGAGCAAAAGACATAAACAGACATTTTATCAAAGAGGATATGCAAATGACAAAGAAGTACTAGAAAAGGTGTTCACTAGCCATTAGAGAAAAATGAATTAAAATCATGATAAGATGTCACTACATACCTACCAGAAATACAAGTAAAAAATTGTGACAATACCAAAAGCTGGTGAGATTGCAAAGAAACTAGATCACTCACACATTGCTGATGAGAATATGCAATAGTACAACTACATTGTAAAGTAGTTTGGCAGTTTCTTATAAAATTAAACATGCAATTAATATTCTACTTAATAATTGTACTCTTGGGCATGTATCTTAAAGAAATAAAAATTAATGTTCACACAAAAACCTATGCTCAAATATCCATAGTATTTTTATTTGTAATAGCCAAAAACTGGAAACCAGATGTTCTTTAACAGGTAAATGATTAAGCAAACCATGTTGCTATGACATACTTTAGCAATTAAAAAGAATAAACTATAGACACATGCAACTTGGATGAATCTCCAGAGAATTATGCTTAGAGGAAAAAAAGCCAATCCGAAAGGTTACATACTATATGATTCTATTTATGTAACATTCTATTTTAAATTTTTTGTTTTTATTTTTCAATTACAGTTGACATTTAATATTGTATCAGTTTCAGGTATACAGTGGTCAGACATTTATATAACCTATGAAGTAATCTTCCCAATTAGTCTACTACCCACCTGGCACCATGCATAGTTATTATCATATTATTGACTGTATTCCCTATGCTGTACTTTACATCCCCACGACTATTTTGTAACTGCCAATATATAACATTCTCGAAATGACAAAATTATAGAAACAGAGAACAAATTAGTAGTTGCTAGAGCTTAAGGATGGAAGGAAGAAAAGTGGGTGTGGTTATAAAAGGGCAACAGATGGGATCCTTGTGGTGATGGAAACTTTCTTGTTATATATAT